GTACAAGTAGTGTTATATTTACATTGTAATCCCTAGGTACAAATAGTGTTATATTACATTGTAATTCCTAGGTAAAGTAGTATTATATTACACTGTAATCTCTAGGTACAAGTAGTGTTATATTACATTGTAATATCTAGGTACAAGTAGTATTATATTACACTGTAATCTCTAGGTACAAGTAGTGTTATGTTACATTGTAATCCCTAGGTACAAGTAGTGTTATATTTACATTGTAATCCCTAGGTACAAATAGTGTTATATTACATTGTAATTCCTAGGTAAAGTAGTATTATATTACACTGTAATCTCTAGGTACAAGTAGTGTTATATTACATTGTAATATCTAGGTACAAGTAGTATTATATTACACTGTAATCTCTAGGTACAAGTAGTGTTATGTTACATTGTAATCCCTAGGTACAAGTAGTGTTATATTTACATTGTAATCCCTAGGTACAAATAGTGTTATATTACATTGTAATTCCTAGGTAAAGTAGTATTATATTACACTGTAATCTCTAGGTACAAGTAGTGTTATATTACATTGTAATATCTAGGTACAAGTAGTATTATATTACACTGTAATCTCTAGGTACAAGTAGTGTTATGTTACATTGTAATCCCTAGGTACAAGTAGTGTTATATTTACATTGTAATCCCTAGGTACAAATAGTGTTATATTACATTGTAATTCCTAGGTAAAGTAGTATTATATTACACTGTAATCTCTAGGTACAAGTAGTGTTATATTACATTGTAATATCTAGGTACAAGTAGTGTTATGTAACATTGTAATCCATAGGTACAAGACCTGGGAGGTGGCTCTACAGTGTATTTCTGTGCTAGACGTTCTGATGTCACTTAGTTCCTATAGTCGGTGTGGTGACGGAGTTATGTGTCGACCAGAGGTTGTCTCCCCTGCTGATGACACTGAGGTAAGTGATATAGGTTGCCTTACCATATAATCTCTGATGTCGACAACTGACATCTGTTTGCTCTTTGGACACTGTTCAAATGTTTTAAATCATGTTTTAATTTTGTCATTTGACATATTTGATGTTATTTTATGTTTTTTGGTCACTTAAGTCATTCAAAGGTGACCAATTGGGATTGCCTTTCTTGCATAGTCATCCGTGGTGCATAAACTGTCATGTTTTCGACTTATCATTGGAAACCATCCGTCAGATTTTGATGAAACTTGGGGTTGATTAAAATCCTGTGGTGGGGATGAAAATCTTTGATCAAGAACTGGCTATCCCCCGAGGCAGTTTGGCCGTGAGTGGTCACAGAGAGCAAACGTACATATTTTGTAAAATGATCCATCAAATATTTTTTTGCTAGAAGGGGTTGACCTCCGGCGGGCTCAGGGGCTGTGCCATTTATGGTCACAAAAAAACAAAACATTTGACCCACATATTATTAATCATTAGATTGACTCTATATTTCATTTGTTTGTTATATATTGTTTGACTTTATTTTAGCCATTCCTTGAGATCAGAGATGGACGGCATCCATGCATAGCAAAGACATTTTCTGGGGGAGACTTCATACCAAACGACACTCTTATTGGAGTGGGCGATGTGAGTATGAGAAATCAACATATACATGGAGATATCTTTATTGCCCTGAAATCAAGAGAGTGTGTAAATATCCACCATTAGAAAGTTGTTTTATTTAGTTAAAAAGATCTTGGAAAATATTCTATCCATTTGTAAAAAGAAAACCACTACTTTTAATTAACAAATGCATTGTTTTTATGACAACTTCTAGATGTTTAATGCATTTAATATAGTGAAATTTCATGAAATTGATATGGAAATCCTACCTAAAAGTGACCTTGTATGGAAGTCGGGGCCCTAGAGCATAAAGTCGATTTCATTGTTACAGGAGAATTCAATGGAGACAGATGAACAAGAGAATGCTAACAGTAAGATTATTCTGGTGACAGGACCAAATATGGGTGGTAAATCCACGTTGATGCGGCAAGTGGGTCTCATCACTGTAATAGCTCAAATGGTGAGTGTTCATAGGGGGAAAGTGGTGGAAGAGCCTGGCAGGAGAGGTGGGCAGGGCAGTGTTTGTAGGAGGGGTGGTTGGAGGAGCTTGGCAGGAGAGGCGGGCAGGACAGTGTTTGTAGGAGGGGTGGGTGGAGGAGCTTGGCAGGAGAGATGGGGCAGGGCAGTGGTTGTAGGAGGGGTGGGGTGAAGGAGCTTGGCAGGAGAGATGGGGCTGGGCAGTGGTTGTAGGAGGGGTGGGGTGGAGGAGCTTAGCAGGAGGAATGGGGCTTGGCAGGAGGGGTGGGGCATGGCAGTGCTTGTTGGATGGCTGGGGTGGAGGAGCTTGGCAGGAGGGGTGGGGCAGGGCAGGGCAGTGTTTGTAGGAGAGGTGGGGCAGGGCAGTGTTTGTAGGAGGGAGGGGTGCAGCAGGCCAGGCCAGGTGGGGCAGTGTTTTCCTACCTGACATTTTCAGGGAACCCTCTCAATTTACATTCAGATCATAAATATACATCAAGGAGCTAAGCACAAGCAATGAAAGATCTTACTTTGGATACAAATATTAAAATATCCAGAATTTCACATTACATTAGAAGACCTTCAGTTGGAATTGTTCTGTGTTTTTGTTCTCTGTGTTTTCCTCTGAATTTAAATATCGAAGGATGTAATTTCATTGATAACTCATTCTGCTTTGTAAGTAACTCATGTTACATTGATGATTTTCTATATTGAATAAACTGCGGAAAATAGAAATGACAATATGGGCTTTTGTTCAATTCTGTAGGGAGAGGTATGCATTTTGCTTACTTCCTCATTAATTGCATGTTGTGACCACATGTCTTGCTAGAAACATTGCAATAAATGCCAAGTTTGTCATCGTGTTTCTGATGATTTGTGTTTGTGCAGGGTTGCTATGTGCCCGCTGAGAAATGTCGTATGACACCAGTGGACCGTGTCTTCACCAGACTTGGTGCCTCAGACAGAATTATGGCTGGTTGGTATCATGTATTAAAATATGTTGTTGGTATAAAAAAAAAGTACTTTCTATGGAATGGAAGCTGCCAAAATGTTACAAGACTGTTTTATTTAACGTGGCAGCTGTCATTACAGTATAAGAAGTAACAAATATTATAGAGTTATTTAAAAAAAATCCCTACACAGAGATAGTGATGTTCTTAGTTGCATAAGGGCCCAGCAACAGGAAACTCATATTGAACCGGACAACAATAACACTTAAAAAACTTAATACACCAAAAGGAAGCAGAGTCGTAAAAGGTTAGGAACTGCATGCATCTGCAGCAGAATGATCAGATATTATAAGAAGTGGTTTTAAAAATTCTGATTTAATGGTATATACTAATTTCATGCAGATATTTTAAATCTTTTGAAAAAATTAATATTGAACATTGTAAAAAGAATCCTATTTATTCCATTTGAAATGACAATTACGGAATATCATTAACTTAAATGGCAATTTCCCCCCAAAGTGTTTGTATTGCAAAAGTATCTTTCACAGCTGGGTTGAAAGTTGAACACTCATAAGGTAATCAAACAATGCTGTATGTTTGTAGGTGAAAGTACGTTTTTCGTGGAGTTGAGCGAGACGTCGGCCATTTTACAGCATGCTACACAGCATTCCTTAGTGCTAATGGACGAGTTAGGTAAGTGTTTTGTAATACTGCTCTGAGTATTCCAGGCTGGACAGTAGTCCATTGGTAGGACGCCGGGCTCGTGACCGAAGGGTTGCGAGTTCGAGTCACGGGACGGCACTGTGTTGTATCTTTGACCAAGATGCTTTACTCCGATTGTTCCAGTCTACTCAGCTGTAAATGAGTATGCGGTTTGGTAATGCTAGAATTGCTGAATGCTAGCTGTGAGTGCCGGCTTTATGCTCCCCAGGGAGTTGAGAAAGATGTTGGTCTGTTGCAAAGGACCTATAATCACGGATAATAATTTGTGAGCCGCTTTGATACGACCTATGGCCTAGGTTGTGAATTGTGATAAAGCGGAATATAAGAACCTCAAATTATTATTATTATAAAATTCATGGTTGGGACTTTAAAAAAGAAAGCTTTATCAGCTTGAACAAGTTTATATTGATGTGCAGTTCATTTATGTAGACATTTACGATCTTTAACAAAAGCTAACATGAATTAAACAGGTATGAGTTTGTACTGATGTTTGTGAGTTTATACTAAAGTTTATATTATTACTGTATTTTCTAGGACGAGGAACAGCGACGTATGATGGGACGGCCATTGCCTGTTCAGTCGTGGAGGAGCTTTCCAGGCGCGTCTGCTGTCGTACACTTTTCTCGACGCATTACCATTCATTGGTGGAGGAGTTTTCACATGACCCCAATATCAGACTTGGTCACATGGTGTGTATTCGAAAATAGTGATCATTAATTACTCGCAGAATGTTAGCTATTATACATGTAAAGTAGGGATAAAGCAAGTTTCTGGTTTCCAGCAATCTCTGGGCATTCATAAAACGATTCTTATGATCACTCATTTATTCCTTGCTCAAATCAAATTCTTTGAGATCATGCTACACAATGAAAAATGTTGTCCCAATGGTATTCAGTTTCATGCCCCTTCAAAGTTACCAAATCATTGGAAAAAAAACCCATTGCAATCCTCAGGTATTGCCTAAAATTCTGTACCGTTGGGCTGGATATTTCTGTCCCACGTTATATATATATGTTTATATTATGTTATATATGTGCTGCTTGCTGTCTACAGGTATTATCCCCCCTTAAACACCCTTCCCCCATCTGAACCCCACCTCAACTACAACTCCCATTTGGACCCTGATCACCCCCCATCTGAACTCCATCCATTTACTTAATTCTGTCCTTATTGGAGGGATATGTACATGTAGACCCTTGTTCCCCTGTAGGCCTGTATGGTGGAGAATGAGGACGAGACAGACCCCACACAGGAGACAATCACCTTCCTCTACAAATTATCTCATGGAGCCTGCCCCAAGAGTTATGGATTCAACGCTGCAAAATTGGCCAATATTCCTGCCGAGGTAAGAAATTTTGATAGGTAGTTTTATCTGAACTAGCATAAATCACCTTTGATGAAACATGATGTTTAAATAATGTTGAATTCTCTAGGTATGCTTAGAGTAAGCAGCGATAGCGCTCCACAAAAGTTGGGTGTCAATTAGGCTAAAATATTTAACTCCTGTTTAATAAAATATAAAAAGAAAAACCCCCAGATATTTGGGTTTATCTGTAAATCAGCTACTTTCACTAGACCGAATCCCCTGCCACATCAGTTAAAGGGGCCTGAAGTGTTTAACTTTCCTATCCACGTGTCCATAAGGCATCTTGGTTAAAGTTTGTAAGGTTTCATTTTCTGATGCAACAAGTCCAACAGTCATAAAACTTATTATACAGGTACATCCTGAGGAGTACTACACTATGTAGGTGGGCGGTACCTGTATGTTCCCCTTCACAATATACGGGTACATCCTGAGGAGTACTACACTTTGTAGGTCAGCGCTACCTGTATGTTCCACTTCACAACATACAGGTACATCCTGAGGGGTACTACACTATGTAGGTCAGAGGTACCTGTATGTTCCACTCCACAATATACAGGTACATCCTTAGGAGTACTACACTATGTAAGTCAGTGGTACCTATATGTTCCACTTCACAATAAACAGGTACATCCTGAGGAGCACTACACTTTGTAGGTCAGCGCTACCTGTATGTTCCACTTCCCAATATACAGGTACTTCCTGAGGAGTTCTACACTATGTAGGTCAGCAGTACCTGTATGTTCCACTTCCCAATATACAGGTACTTCCTGAGGAGTTCTACACTATGTAGGTCAGCGGGACCTTTATGTTCCACTGCACAATATACAAGTACGTTCTGAGGAGCACTACACTATGTAGGTCAGCGGTACTTGTATGTTCCACTTCACAATATCCAGGTACGTTCTGAGGAGTACTACACTATGTAAGTCAGTGGTACCTATATGTTCCACTTCACAATATCCAGGTACATCCTGAGGAGTGCTTCACTATGTAGGTCAGTGGTACCTATATGTTCCACTTCACAATAAACAGGTACATCCTGAGGAGCACTACACTTTGTAGGTCAGCGCTACCTGTATGTTCCACTTCACACTATACATGTACATCCTGAGGAGTACTACACTAAGTAGGTCAGCGCTACCTGTATGTTCCACTTCACAACATACAGGTACATCCTGAGGAGTACTACACTTTGTAGGTCAGCAGTACCTGTATGTTCCACTTCCCAATATACAGGTACTTCCTGAGGAGTTCTACACTATGTAGGTCAGCGGGACCTTTATGTTCCACTGCACAATATACAAGTACGTTCTGAGGAGCACTACACTATGTAGGTCAGTGGTACCTATATGTTCCACTTCACAATATTCAGGTACATGTAGGTCAGCGCTACCTGTATGTTCCACTTCACAACATACAGGTACATCCTGAGGGGTACTACACTATGTAGGTCAGAGGTACCTGTATGTTCCACTTCCCAATATACAGGTACTTCCTGAGGAGTTCTACACTATGTAGGTCAGCAGTACCTGTATGTTCCACTTCCCAATATACAGGTACTTCCTGAGGAGTTCTACACTATGTAGGTCAGCGGGACCTTTATGTTCCACTGCACAATATACAAGTACGTTCTGAGGAGCACTACACTATGTAGGTCAGTGGTACCTATATGTTCCACTTCACAATATCCAGGTACATCCTGAGGAGTACCACACTATGTAGGTCAGTGGAACCTGTTTGTTCCACTTCACAATATACATGTACATCCTGAGGAGTTCTACACTATGTAGGTCAGCAGTACCTGTATGTTCCACTTCACAACATACAGGTACATCCTGAGGAGTACTACACTTTGTAGGTCAGCAGTACCTGTATGTTCCACTTCACAATATACATGTACATCCTGAGGAGTACTACACTATGTAGGTCAGCGGTACCTGTATGTTCCACTTCACAATATACAGGTACATCCTGAGGAGTACTACACTATGTAGATCGGCGGTACCTGTATGTTCCACTTCACAATAAACAGGTACATCCTGAGGAGTACTACACTATGTAGGTCAGCGCTACCTGTATGTTCCACTTCACTGACTTTGGTTAGTAGACTTTTTATTTAGCTCCATTTCTCTCAAAGTGGAGGATAGTAGGTGAGGGACACCTGGATGTTTTACGGTCATACATTATATCTTTTGAATAAGGTTAGTGTTAGACATTGAAAAGCCTCGTTACAAATTGTGAATTAATTTCTTTTCTGCAGATAATCCGCGTGGCAGTGAAGAAGTCCAGGGAGTTTGAGGAGAGCACGGCAAAACTCCGGCTTGTCAGGTACGTACACGTTACCTGTTGGTAGACATGTGCTTCTAGGTATTGGTGTTACGATATCTTAATCAGAGTTCATTGAAAAACTTTAAAGAGAATAAATTAAACAAAAGTTTATATTACTTCAACACAAATAAGAAGGTGATTTACGCAGTACCATGGCACTTATTTAGAACTTCTTCAAATAACTTCTGAACTACTAAAAGGAATTTACAAAATTTGACTGGAAGCGCCATACATTTGAAATTGAAAAAAGGCAACTTTATTGAAATTATAGATATTAACATTATTTGGTTGGAAGCATGATTCAAAAGTTTACAGAGGGGGTGACTTGGAAAGTTTTAAAATCCTCGCCTATAACTATATACAAACCTTACCATATTTCTTATGAAGTGTCTTGGCACATGAGAATAAATTTAGTTTTGTAAAGGAAGAAATTCCACCCCTTGGGGCTGCGCCTATAAAGAAGTAATTTTAATGTTTATAGCTTCAAAAGTCTACTCTTCCTGAATTGTTGATCATATTTCAACTAAAATTTGCTGTGAAGCATCGTTTGGAGCAGGGAATCAAATGTTTTAGTAAATTACATAGGTGGATGTTGCACTGAAATTGGTGCAAATAATAAAGAAAAATCAAGATGTTTTGAAGACATGGAATTTGTTGCATCATACAGTTGTGATAGTAAAAATCAATCGAGTAACTAATATTTTTTTTTTGAATGTACGTGTACTTTTGTAGGATAAAGCACCTGTTGACAGCAGCATGTGGTGTGTTGGAGTTCAGACTCTGTCCTCAGCTATGCTGCAGGGAAGTCTGGCCTTCCGGTTGAACAAACCATCCTATAGCTAGATACTGCTGTGATTGAAAGAAATAATACAATGTTTTGATATTTGTTACAGAGCATTACACCGGGACTGGCCGAATCAATCATTCTACAGATAGATACTGTTGTAATGGAAAAAATCATAAAATGTTTTGATTTTTGTTACAGAGCATTACACAAGGACTGGCCGAATCAATCATTCTACAGATGAATACTGTTGTAATGGAAGAAATAATACAATGTTTTGATATTTGTTACAGAGCATTACACAAGGACTGGCCGAATCAATCATTCTACAGATGGATACTGTTGTAATGGAAGAAATAATACAATGTTTTGATATTTGTTACAGAGCATTACACAAGGACTGGCCGAATCAATCATTCTACAGATAGATACTGTTGTAATGGAAGAAATAATAAAATGTTTTGATTATTGTTACAGAGCATTACACAAGGACTGGCCGAATCAATCATTCTACAGATAGATACTGTTGTAATGGAAGAAATAATACAATGTTTTGATTATTGTTACAGAGCATTACACAAGGACTGGCCGAATCAATCATTCTACAGATAGATACTGTTGTAATGGAAGAAATAATACAATGTTTTGATTATTGTTACAGAGCATTACACAAGGACTGGCCGAATCAATCATTCTACAGATAGATACTGTTGTAATGGAAGAAATAATACAATGTTTTGATTATTGTTACAGAGCATTACACAAGGACTGGCCGAATCAATCATTCTACAGATAGATACTGTTGTAATGGAAGAAATAATACAATGTTTTGATTATTGTTACAGAGCATTACACAAGGACTGGCCGAATCAATCATTCTACAGATAGATACTGTTGTAATGGAAGAAATAATACAATGTTTTGATTATTGTTACAGAGCATTACACAAGGACTGGCCGAATCAATCATTCTACAGATAGATACTGTTGTAATGGAAGAAATAATACAATGTTTTGATTATTGTTACAGAGCATTACACAAGGACTGGCCGAATCAATCATTCTACAGATAGATACTGTTGTAATGGAAGAAATAATACAATGTTTTGATTATTGTTACAGAGCATTACACAAGGACTGGCCGAATCAATCATTCTACAGATAGATACTGTTGTAATGGAAGAAATAATACAATGTTTTGATTATTGTTACAGAGCATTACACAAGGACTGGCCGAATCAATCATTCTACAGATAGATACTGTTGTAATGGAAGAAATAATACAATGTTTTGATTATTGTTACAGAGCATTACACAAGGACTGGCCGAATCAATCATTCTACAGATAGATACTGTTGTAATGGAAGAAATAATACAATGTTTTGATTATTGTTACAGAGCATTACACAAGGACTGGCCGAATCAATCATTCTACAGATAGATACTGTTGTAATGGAAGAAATAATACAATGTTTTGATTATTGTTACAGAGCATTACACAAGGACTGGCCGAATCAATCATTCTACAGATAGATACTGTTGTAATGGAAGAAATAATACAATGTTTTGATTATTGTTACAGAGCATTACACAAGGACTGGCCGAATCAATCATTCTACAGATAGATACTGTTGTAATGGAAGAAATAATACAATGTTTTGATTATTGTTACAGAGCATTACACAAGGACTGGCCGAATCAATCATTCTACAGATAGATACTGTTGTAATGGAAGAAATAATACAATGTTTTGATTATTGTTACAGAGCATTACACAAGGACTGGCCGAATCAATCATTCTACAGATAGATACTGTTGTAATGGAAGAAATAATACAATGTTTTGATTATTGTTACAGAGCATTACACAAGGACTGGCCGAATCAATCATTCTACAGATAGATACTGTTGTAATGGAAGAAATAATACAATGTTTTGATTATTGTTACAGAGCATTACACAAGGACTGGCCGAATCAATCATTCTACAGATAGATACTGTTGTAATGGAAGAAATAATACAATGTTTTGATTATTGTTACAGAGCATTACACAAGGACTGGCCGAATCAATCATTCTACAGATAGATACTGTTGTAATGGAAGAAATAATACAATGTTTTGATTATTGTTACAGAGCATTACACAAGGACTGGCCGAATCAATCATTCTACAGATAGATACTGTTGTAATGGAAGAAATAATACAATGTTTTGATTATTGTTACAGAGCATTACACAAGGACTGGCCGAATCAATCATTCTACAGATAGATACTGTTGTAATGGAAGAAATAATACAATGTTTTGATTATTGTTACAGAGCATTACACAAGGACTGGCCGAATCAATCATTCTACAGATAGATACTGTTGTAATGGAAGAAATAATACAATGTTTTGATTATTGTTACAGAGCATTACACAAGGACTGGCCGAATCAATCATTCTACAGATAGATACTGTTGTAATGGAAGAAATAATACAATGTTTTGATTATTGTTACAGAGCATTACACAAGGACTGGCCGAATCAATCATTCTACAGATAGATACTGTTGTAATGGAAGAAATAATACAATGTTTTGATTATTGTTACAGAGCATTACACAAGGACTGGCCGAATCAATCATTCTACAGATAGATACTGTTGTAATGGAAGAAATAATACAATGTTTTGATTATTGTTACAGAGCATTACACAAGGACTGGCCGAATCAATCATTCTACAGATAGATACTGTTGTAATGGAAGAAATAATACAATGTTTTGATTATTGTTACAGAGCATTACACAAGGACTGGCCGAATCAATCATTCTACAGATAGATACTGTTGTAATGGAAGAAATAATACAATGTTTTGATTATTGTTACAGAGCATTACACAAGGACTGGCCGAATCAATCATTCTACAGATAGATACTGTTGTAATGGAAGAAATAATACAATGTTTTGATTATTGTTACAGAGCATTACACAAGGACTGGCCGAATCAATCATTCTACAGATAGATACTGTTGTAATGGAAGAAATAATACAATGTTTTGATTATTGTTACAGAGCATTACACAAGGACTGGCCGAATCAATCATTCTACAGATAGATACTGTTGTAATGGAAGAAATAATACAATGTTTTGATTATTGTTACAGAGCATTACACAAGGACTGGCCGAATCAATCATTCTACAGATAGATACTGTTGTAATGGAAGAAATCATAAAATGTTTTGATTATTGTTACAGAGCATTACACAAGGACTGGCCGAATCAATCATTCTACAGATAGATACTGTTGTAATGGAAGAAATAATACAATGTTTTGATTATTGTTACAGAGCATTACACAAGGACTGTTCAGTGGACAAGTTGTCGAATCTCCAGCAGCAGATCAGGGATGCGTGAAATCCAAGGTCCTCTAAATGACCTCTAACTAGATTACTAGAGCAATTGAAAATAACCTCAACTTCAGTTGTGTGATTGACACATAGGGCCATAGGATCGATGTTACATGACTTAAGTGTGAACATTGATAGTCATTGGAAGGACGTATAAAATTGGTGGACGATGGCAGTAGATAAACAATGGGAGAGCTATAACTTCACAAAAGCTTGATTGGACGGCAAATGAAATGATCATAAAATGTAAGATGGAGGTGTAAAGTAGCAGATCAGGAACACAACAGCATGCTTTCCAGGGATGTTCAAATGATATCTGAAGTAGATGGACCAGTAAAATCATTCAGTGACAAGAAATGTTTACTTAACTAAGTTTGAATGACAAGTAAATTGATCACTGAATACCGGAAGGGGACTTACAAGACACAGCTGATCAGGGACATATCAAAACACTCTGAGAGGCGTTTGAGTGAAACGATTGGACTGGAGCAGCAATTCAGTGTCAGATGTGTTTAATATAAATAGTACATCGCAGTAAATGATGTATAAACGAGTACATTAAAGTAAACGAGGAACAATGTGTTGAAGGACGTTTAGTTTCTGATACAAAACTTATTAAATAGATCTATGTATGCATGATGAACCAGGACAGGTATGATTGTGTGTTTGTACCAGAAAAAAAGCAGAACAAAAGTCGCTCATCAAAGTAAACAGCTGACAAAACATAATAATTACATGATCAACACATGTACAGTCAAGTGTGAAGAACTCTTCTTTAGACTGAATGTTGTTGCATCATTGTGAAGTTAAGGTCGACGGACTACTTAGAGGACAATATCTCAAACATTTAATGTTGTTATGATGCAATATCAAATTATTACAGTATTTGTAGCAAAATGAATGAAGTCTATAGTTCTACACTAAGTGTATATGTAAAAGATATTCATTGTAATTAAATATCATGATCGCGATTTATCATCGTAACAATCTGCCTGTGATGATGTCATTAACAAATTTTAAAAGGCAATTAAATCACCATTCTATATGCAACATGTGTTTGCCTTGATTTATTAATTTAATTAAGTCTTTAAACGGTAAAACTCGAAATCTAGATCTTCTGGATGATTGATTTGTGCTGTTACATGTATCAATGTTGTCTAAAGGCCAATCCCAAGCAATCGATCATCATATCTATTGCAATAGGTATGGCAGGCCTGGGTCTTTGTTGGCCTTTGCATGTCATTATACCCCCCGCAACAAAGTTATGGGGGTATACTGGAATCAGCTTGTCTGTCTGTCTGTCAGTAGAAAAAGTTTGTCCAAACAACTCCTTCTAAAGTAATGGACCAATTTCAACGAAACTTTCCACATAATTATGACAACTACCACCTGAAGTTAACGTTGTGCATCCAGTTTTTTTAGGTCACCTGAGACAAAGTGATCGCCTTTTGTCCGGCGGCGTCCGTCGTGCGTCCGTAAACAATTTACATTTTCGACTTCTTCTCCAAAACACCTGAATCAATTTCAATGACATTTTGCAGAAACCTTCCATGGCCAAAGGTCAACAAAAATAGTTGCTGGTTTGGTCCCCGGGCCTGAGGGGCGGGGCCAAAAAGGGTTGAATTGACTGAAATTTCAAAAATCTTCTCAAGACCCAGATATCGTAGAATCAAATACTCGTCATAGATGGAAGGGTCTTAAGGTGCTTTACCAAAATTGTGAATTTCTTGACCCTGGGGTCTCACGTTTCCCCCTGGGGAGGGGGTAAACTTTACTAAAGTTTATATAGGGAAATCACATTTTGGACTAACATTTGTTTAATTGCCATTGGAAGTAATTCAATTTGGGTTAGCATTATCAGTATTGGATAGCAGTTTGATGGTATGCACATATGCGCCCTGACTGACCCCCTGGGGCTGATGGGTGGGGCCAAAAAGGGTTGAATTGACTGAAATTTCAAAAATCTTCTTCTCAAGACCCAGATATGGTAGAATCAAATACTCTTCCTAGATGGAAGGGTTTTAAGGTTCTCTACCAAAATTGTGAATTTTATGACCCTGGGGTCTCAGGTTTCCCCATGTGGAGGGGTAAACTTGACTATAGTTTATATAGGGAAATCACATTTTGGACTAACATTTGTTTAATTGCCATTGGAAGTAATTCAATTTGGGTTAGCATTATCAGTATTGGATAGCAGTTTGATNGACAGTTTGATACTTTGAAAATTTCTTCATTTTCCTTGGTTAGAATCAAAGGTGCTAGTTTCAAATACTTTTCAGTCTTAAATCTGTATGCTAGATATTGAATAAGGTGGTTTTATTGTTTTTTGTCACTTTGAATAATATTTCTGTTCATGTTAAAAACAAAATCAACTCTCTGTATAAATATATCAGGTGACCGTGAAGGCCCATAGGCCGCTTTTGTTTTTCGTTCTGTCCCTTTTTTACCAAGTTATGGCCCTTTGTTGAAAAATACTTCTCCATACAACTCCTCCAAAACTATGAGGCCTATTTCAACGAAAGTTTTCAGATATGATAACTATCACCTGAAATTGTGCATCAAGATATTTGTCTCCAACCCTTTTTATGGAGTTATGGCCCTTTGTTGAAAAATCCTTGTCCTGACAACTTCTCCTAATCTACTGGGCCATTTTCAAAGAAAGTTTACAGATATGGCAACTCCCCCTTGATGTTGTGCATCCAAGTAGTACTTTTTCATTCCGATTTTTAAAAGGAGTTCTGCCCCTTTGTTGAAAATAACCCTTTGAACTACTCTGCCAAGTTCAATGAAAGTTTGAAATATAATCCCCTGATGTCGTGCATCACCATAGTATTTTTCATTACGACCCTTTTTAAGTAGTTATGTCCCGTTCTTAAAAATCTTTGTCCTGACATCTCTTCCTTTACTACTAGGCAGCTATTTTAGATCTTGCATTTGAAGTTGTTATTGCTATTTACTGAGAACTATTGAAGGGACAGCAATGAAAAAGGATATACATGATCCCTTTAGAATGTATTCGTGTTTGCTTTAAACTTTTGCGGAGTGGAAAAAAACCTGAAATGGCCACCAGGTAATTATATAGATTTTGTATGGATATCATTGGTTGTTTATGGAAAGTGCTAAAGGGATAATGGGGGAAAACTTTGCCCCTAGATGGATGGATCGAAAAATCTAGCTAAAACAAGTCCCTCAAAGATTATGTTGCAACTTGGTTTGCATAAGCCTCTTGGTAGATGAAAGTAACACACATGTAAGGTGAAAGCACCTTTAAAGTTTGGTAGTACATACACTATACAGTATGCCAAACAATGAATTACACTGCATCATACAGCTGTTTCGTCCTTCTAGGACTTATCAGAGCTGATAGGAGCTAAAAAGTTCAAATCCAAATGGTCCAAATTACTGTACATATAGAGGGACAGGCACGTAAAACCTCTTTATTTTATGAATCTCAAATAATTAGAGTAGTACTGATAAATTACAAATTAAATCATTAGTGAAGTGTATGTACATGTATAATTAGCGGTGCCACTACTCAAAAGAAATAACTGTGACCATCAGGGTTACGGCAGACCTCAGGGACTATGCAATCCACCAGAAGAGTAAAGCTATAAGAACTAAAAATCCACCAGCAGAGCCTACCACCTTGTATCTTAAAAGATGAACGTAACGCACATAGAATATGTATAGTAAACCAAGAATAAACAACACTGCTACATAAGCTGTTTCATCCTTCTCGAACTCATCGGTGATGCTAGGGGTCAAAAAATCAAAAAAAATCAAATGGTCTAAATTACTGTGCAAACAGAGAGGCATGTGCGTAAAATTCCTTTTATGAATTTCAAAATTAAGAAGGAGCCTGATTCATTACAAATTAAATCATTAGTAAAGTTGGTATATTATGAATCGTGTCGCTACCTAACTGTGGTCATCGAGGTTATGGCAGAGCTCAGGGACTTGACAAAATCCACCAGCAGAGTCTACCACTTCGTATCCTGAAAGATGAACAGCCAATACATGTGAATGTACCTTTAGAATTTGGTAATATATACAGTTTTGTAATATATACAGTATGGTAATATATACAGTTAGGTAATATATACTATACAGTTTGGTAATATATACAGTTTGGTAATATATACAGTTTGGTAATATATACAGTATGGTAATATATACAGTTTGGTAATATATACAGTATGGTAATATATACAGTTTGGTAATATATACAGTTTGCAAAAATAAAAAATAAATAAAAAAGACTACGTGTGTGTGCTTGTTCAAAAATAGTCCGAATTATTCTGACGTTTTATCGACTATCGATAACGACGACAGACCGATATAAAAAAAGTCTATAAAACGTCAGAATAATTCGGACTAGTTCAAAAAGAGAATAGCGAAATGCAGACAAAAGAGCATGCATAGCATCAAAATTTGATGATCTTTCAGCTAATTTACTAAACTGTTAAGAAATTGATACTTTTGTGTAAATATCATCCTAGTAAATTGATACCATGGTAACGGCTCTTATAGAGATGTTCTGTGAATGGCAGTCCCGGTCAGGGAGGGAATGAGATGTCGGACAGGAAGTATCTTCGCTTCTCATACGAGAGCAAGATCTTTCAATTCCGGGCTATATCTTTTGGCCTGTCCATGCCAGGGCCCCTTAGTTTTTATCACACTACTGCAGGTTGTGGTAGGTTTCCTGCAGCAGCGAAGCGTAGACATCCATATTTACTTCGACGACTCGATCCGAGTCTTTTTCTCAATGTCGGGTTCATCACCTCCCTCGAGAAAATAGGTTTCCCTCTCAGAACTTTGTGTTTCTATGCTAGCGGCTCAACGTACCAAGGGGTATTGTCCTTCCAGCTCAAGAGACATTGACCAAGGCTAGGAGTCTGGTGCTTCAGTTCACGTAATTTGCATGGCAACAGATA